AAATATTTAGACAACAGATTGAACTCACCCTTCCTTGGGCCTTTGAGAAATTGCCAGGAAAATCCATGAAATCCAACAAAAAAAAGTTGTATATGCTATGGACCTGCACGTTTAGAGGCTGACACATTGACCAGCTGGCTTCCTGGCTTGGCTTTGGAAGACTAAGTAGAGGCAGGGCTTTTGCATAAAGTAGTTTATGATGTGACTTTACTGCTTGTCCTGGGACAAAAGCAAAAGGTCTCTGAGTGTTCCAGCATGTGGATATAGTTTATTTTTAGCTTCCTACCTCCAGCACTATGCCAGTGATTTCTACTTTTCTCTGCATGTGAGCCAGGCACATATCACAGTGATCACATCCCTCCCTGTCCCAAAGTTCTCCTTCCTCAAGCAATTCCCTTGTATTTGCAAATGCCAGTCTGGCATTAGCTCAGTATTTTTTTCAGACATCTGCACATCTATCCCTAGAGTGTCCACCCATTAAAAATACCCTCAAGTATCACAAGACTGACATATAAGAGTGAACAGAAGACATAAAAGCACTGTCATGTGCTTTTTTCTGCTAGTCAGACAATGCTGTAAGCACTGCAGTCAGGTTTCCAAGCCCTAAAGCAAGTCTGTCAGCTAATACAATGCTACATGGATTCAAGTCTAGTAACTGAGATTTCAGCTTCACTTAGGTGATTTGCAGCATCCTTAGAAGGCAGCTATACCTCTGCTTCGGTCTACCCTGAATGTACACAAATATCTAGATGGTCAACCGCCCAGCTAATGAGCAATGCCTGGGTTCCTTAGGCAGTAGAACACACGATGATTTAGATAAAGGTATTAATTTTTTATGCTGCCTAGCCCCCTGCCCATCTGTGGATGCTGCATGCAATTTAAAAGACAAAAATGTTTTCTGCAGATACTAAATTTAAGATAACAACTTCCCCCCCCCCCCCCTTAATTTGGCATTTAGCTATCCATCAGGGTAAGCAACAAGTCACTTGGCAGACAATTCAGGACATATGGCTTTGAAGAATGGTAATTTAAAAGTACTTGGACAAGTTTCCTCAACTCATTCACATTAATTTGTGCTATTCTCTTTTACTTGTGCTCTAGCAGCTGGTACAGCTAAAAAAGTACAGAAAATATAATGAATATAATGCAAGTGGCAAAAAACTACTATTCATGAGTTGGATTAATGTATAGTGCAAAGACCTGTCTCAAAAACTGAGTAACAGAAGGAGTTCAAAGACAATTCAGAACTGTTAAACCTACATGCCTCATCTGTAGTCACCAGGTGGCACCAGATATATCCATATATTGGTAATTAGGTTAAAACCATTGTAACCTTTGTGGTCTTTGAAATGCTGAGCCCATCACACATGGCTATTAGACAGAGCTGGCAGCTGAATGATCAGTAGACTAGAGAGTTTAGATCTAACTTCAATGAGATCTGAACATTTATAGTTTGGGGGTTTGGCAGGTGGGGGTGGGGTCTGTTTGTTTGTTTTATTGGGGTTTCGTTAGGGTTTTTTGGTATTGGAGTGGTTTTTTTGGTCTGTTTTGTTTTGGTGGGGTTTTTTGTTTGGTTTTTCTTTTGTGGTTTTTTTTTTGTTTGTTTCTTTTAGGAGAAAGTGTAAATTAAGATCAGTGGCATCTCCTAATTTGGAGATGTTGCTTATAAACCTTTTCCAAAAATGCAAAAACAGATTACATTAACTAAATGCCTTGATTCCTGGTCAGAATTAACATATTGTTACAGTTTTCCCCTTTTCTTTTGCAACACTTAAAATGTTTAAAGCATTAAACTTTGGAGGATAACCAGTTCTTTAAAAAGATACATTCCAGCAGTCCTGAAGAATTGTAGCCTTCTGTTGATACAAGAGGACATTTTCTTCTACCTTTCTGACACTGACAATGAGAACTTGAATTATATAAGAAATTCTATTCTTAAAAATTATTTCGTTTTACAAATATAGCTACATTATTGTATGAGGTGAAGCTGAAATTAACTATGCATCATACATAGGATATTATCTCATGAATATAAAAAAAATAATGAGAGCTAATTCATTTACTTGTGAATCATATCAGTTTTTTTCCAGAAATTCGATGTTCATAACTTTACAACTAATGAAATATTTGGGAAACTGTTTCTTGTGCTTGGAAGTATTTAACAAGGTGTTTTTCGTTCCATTATTAACTGTCTTCTGTAGAAATAAAACTTTTCATCAGGGACCAAAAAAAAAAACAAAACACCACCCCAGCAGAAAAGGGTTGACCTCATTGAATCAATGGCAAAACTCCCACTAACTTCAAGGGACCAGAACTTTACCACATATGACCAGATTTATTCAAAGAAGGAAAACCAAACAGCCAAAGATATCATGTTACTAAAAGCATAGAGTCTAAAAATGAATCATTATCTAAACAATATATCAAATATTTACAAATACCAGTAATCAAAAAGCAGAGTTGTGATTTGAAATAGTTTCAAAAGAAACTTGAAGGGGGAAAACAACTTGAAGGAAGAAAAAAGCATATAACAAAAGTATATAATTCTGAGTATTCAGATTTTATCTCTTTATCGCATTGGAATGATTTTTCAGCCAGAAGGTACTTTTTTATTATACTACATTCATTGTGGCATTACTGCAAAAATGCCATTGGCATTTACATTCTCTTCAGCATGCCATGTTCCTAAAAATGAACCAGTGTGATTATCAGTGTATTATTACACACCTGACACTCGCAGAAGCTTAATTGTTGTTGGGATCCCCAGTGCATACACAACAGTGAACATGCGTAAGCAACCTATGAGTTAAAAAGCCATTTTTATAAGCACTGGCTTGCAATCAGTGCTTGTAGTGGCAATGGGCAAACCTAGCGTTCTACAGACACAAAAGGAGATGTCTCTGTTCAAATGATTCATTATTATTCTTCACACTTTACAGTAAGACCCCTAGCAAGCGCAACCAGGGAAACCAAGAAAGCGTAGCGGGAGCAGCACTCTTCACACCAGCCAGCAGTGGACTCTGGCACTGAGACAACATGCTTAAGCTTCAGCACAGAGAAGGATCCTCTAGACTGGAGCAAAGAAGTTTGTGGATAATTTAACATGGTAGTATTCACACAAAAAGGAAGCTTATCTTTTGTCTGCTATAGCATGAAGCCCGCCTAATACAAGTTTTACTGTTTGTATTCAAGCATTTTCATTACAGCAGTTGCAGCACATACAAAAATGCAGTCCTGAAAGTCTGAAGAACAGTCTGAAGTTTAGGCAGCTATTGTAAAGTGAATTTGTAGACTCCCAATACCAAAAAGTGATTTTTTATTCTGTCTTAAAAAAAGTAACTGATAAAGACAGCAGGAGGAGCTCTCCAGGGATCTCCATTTCTCTCCATTGCCAAGGGGAGCCCAGGGAGCCAGACCAGAGACGAAACACACCTTTGGATGGCTACCATCAAATGGCATGAACTCTGCCCTGCAAGTGGCAACTTCCACTATAGATGCTGCATAATGGAGACACAGGGGTTTTAACTGGTTTGGGATGGGGCTGTGCACTGATCCTTCAAGGTCCTGGTACACTGCACTGAGAAATTCCTATGTGCTGTATTCTCATCTGCACTATCAGTTCAGGAATCATGAAATGAGACAAACATGTGAATATAGTTTTCTTTCCTTTCTCTGACATAAATCTGTTGTCATTTTACAGGAGCTCTGCTTTTACTATCTAGAAGAAAAAGCAGGCACACACATTTGCTGGAAGACCTAGTATATCTCTTTCTTTCCGTAACAAAGAAGCATAGAATTAATGTTATTTTATCAGCAAAAATTATACTTCTTACCTATTATCTGCAATTCTATCCATGGCAAGTACATTATACTGTAATTTAAGTATATTATATGTATTATCTGTAAAAGGGTTGTAATAATTTCAACATACTATTCATTGAAATACATTAATAGCATACCTATAACACACAAAACTTGAAATTGATGAAAATAGAATACAACAGTATAACTACTTTTAAGGTTTTTCTTCCTAGAAGAGTCCTAGGAATGCCAGAATTTATGGGCTATGTTATCCTGTCTCCACTATTTTCTTAAAATAAGAAAGATTTGCAAGAGACTAGATAATTCCCAGAGATGTCACAAAGCAGTTCAAGGGAAAGCAGAGTAGGTATCAGATCATGAATGAGACTATATGTAATGATTTTTTCTTTTGAGAGAAGACCAGCAGGAAGGGAGGAAAGTTTGCAGCTTTTTAGTTGTCCTTCATAGGCTGGATGACTACTTGAGACAGGACTGAAGTTCTGATCAACTGGGCCATGTCCACCACAATCTTTTCCTTTCTGAGTTGGGATATGATGACCTCTACATGGATGGGTTAAAACATTCATTGACTTTCATGGGAGTTTCATAATTAATGGCCTACATATTCTCACTACTATTCTCTTTTGAATTATTTGTTTCTTTGAATGATTAAAGATTTCCCAGCCATATCTGCAGGAATAATATTATGATTATATAGAGGGGAGTTACGGGAAAGACAAAGAGAGACTTTTAACCAAGGCCTGCAGTGACAGGAAAAGAGGCAATAGTTTTAAACTGAAAGAGGGTAGGTTTCGAATGGACAGAAGGAAGACATGTTTTACAGTTAGGGTGGTGAGACACAGGATAAGGCTGCCCAGAGAAGTTCAGGGTGTCCTGTCCCTGGAAGTGTTCATTATCAGGTTGGATAGAGCTTTGAGCAACTTTATTTAAGGAAAGATATCTCTGCCCATGACAGGATGTTGGAACAAGACTTGAAGGTCTTTCTGATTCAAAACAACTTCTGTCTGCATGATGTATAAAGACAGATGAATACAAGGCATTCAGCATCAAAGTAATTGATTATCTGATTTTATACTGTGTGCAAGGATGATGGTTTTTTTCTCTTTTTCTTACCTCCTCTGTACAATTCTTGTCTTTAAATTAGACCAGATTACAAACTCAGAAAATCCTGCACATACCTGCTTCTCTCCACTGGGTTTCTTGTGATTTAACAGCAGCTCCACGGCTCCAACCACCTCCTTCCGTATGGCATGCAACAGAGCATCTCCCACATACACATTAAAACTTAGGAGCAGCTCAATGAGCTCAAGGTTCTCATTTTCAATTGCAATAAGGAGTGCAGTTCTTCCCAGGGGATCAATGCAGTTAATATTGATCTTGAAATAAATTTCTGCCTCCTCCAAAGCTTTCTTTACACTGGCGTAATCTCCTTTCTCCACGGCATTCAGGTAGGCTTTCTCTGAATGCGACAGTTCGGATTCTGCCCGTACAATGCGAAGAGGGATACGATCTCTGTAGGGAGCATTGACACTTCTTTTGTAGTAGAACTGGGCCATATTTTATGCCATTCTAATACTTTGTCTCTGCAACATGAAAATAAAGACAAAAATCAATAATTGAGCTTGGGGGTATGGTGCACCAAATTAATATTTGCTGCATGTAAATATTTAAAATTCATACTAGAAAGTGATGTTGCAAAGTTTTTTATCAATAGAAGATGTAAGCAAAAGTGGAAGCCAAAACACTGCTTATTTGTAACTTACCAAGTAAAAGCATATCTGTCAGAATACCATTTGCTTATATGCTTTTTATAAATCTGTGGCAAAAGAAACTATATGATACAACATAGTTTACCACCAAAAGTGTAGCTTCACTTCATCCTTAATTTTCGTCATTCAGTTCTGCAAGGACTTAAAGAGCACAGTTGTCTGTCAAAAAAAACACTGTAAAGTCCACAGAAAGACTTTGCCATGGGAAAAGCACAGAAGGGAGCAACAGGATGATGACCACCCCAAATCTGACAGAGATCTGGTTAGAATGTGCTGGTAGGTGCATCCAGACAAAAATTTCCCACGGCAGCAAACTGTGTAGAGAAGCAACTGCTCATACACATATCACTGGTCAAACAAAGATCACCCCAAGTTATGGGAAAAATCGCATGTACGACCACCAATGGTCATTAAAGCCTCCCTCCACCCCTCAAATATGCCTCTGTGGGTAATTTGAACTTGGACTGTAGGATAAACCACTACTGCAGGGACCTGAGATGAGTTAAAGGTGGTACTACTGTCCAAGTGTTGTCTCAGACCTAGGGGGAGGTTAACAAAGCCTGGGGAGAAGAATGGATCACTGCTAATGGACATAAAGAATGTAGAATTTATGGGCCACAAGGAAAGACAATTCAAAAACTGTGCTGAAATCAACTTCAACTGGGTAAAAGTAATTCCAATGGAGAGATCTTCTCTGACATCCTACAACAACCTATGTGTTGCTTGAGGATTGTGTGTGGACAACTAAATACAGCTTTTACATCTTTCCAGTTCTGCTCAAATACCCTGACTTTTCTGTGGCAGGCACAGACTGCACAGTTCAGTGGTGAGCTTCCCTACCAAGATTTTGATTCAATCTCATATGCTATTAGAAAAACATTCACATAAAATGTTTTTCCAACCAGAGCTTACTAATTTATAAATTAAAACACAGAACCTAAAAGGAAAAACAAATCCATAGGAGATAATTTCCAAGGACTGGTAGATAATAGTCACAGTTTTGATTCTGAACTATTCAGTTCTAAACTAGAATACTGAAACATAACAGCTACAAAACAATGCTAAAGCCTTACTTATAGTAAAGCATATAATGTCTGTGCTTTTATTCTGTATACATTATTAGAGGACTTTGCAAAAAAAAAAATCCTTCTAACAAAATGATTTTCTCCTGGTTCTATCCTCTACCTGGAAAAAAGAAATGTGCTGTGAAAAATGGGGCTTTTTGAGGAGCAGAAGACAGGCATGTTAAGAGCTTATCCCAAAAAAAAAGAAAAAAAAGAAAAAAAAGGGGGAAAGAGGGAAGAGAAAAAAATTGACCTCAAAGAACAAGGCCCACAAAAAAATATTTCCCTCTGCTGTTCAACTGGAGGTTGAACACCTTATTAAAGAAAGAACTACAGCTTCTTTTCTTTTCCCAGCTGATAATGCAAGCTGCATTAACCCACTGCCTTTTCCTCCATTTTCTTCAGTCATTAAAACAAAATCTCTCTTGAGATTCTACAGCAAGCTATCATACATATTTTTATTATTGTGAGGTTTTCATTCATCAAAAAAAAGTCACTTAACATAGTGAGGAACATAGTAATTAATCTGCTCCCCCTTTTCTTAAGCAGTGCAATGAGAGATATGTACAAAGGCTGTTACTGAGCTGTTTTCTTTATTTTCCAGAGCAGATCAACACAGCTTGACATAGGCAGGAAAAGGTAAAGAAGACATATGAGAAAGAACTCTCTTCCACATGCATATACAGGAGCTGAGGAATTGCAATCCTTTGCAAGATGTTTCCCAGTTTTACCTACAGGATGGTATCAGTCTACAGTCTGGGCTACTAGAGGTTGCTCAGTCTGTGGATTGTTAAACTGTGTTCTGTTAATCTCACTCTAAGTAAAATAAAGTTCATATCCATTGCACAGTTTTGTACCCCTGGGACAGATATCACGTTCTTAATGCGCTGTATTTTATCACTTTGCTTCTCATTTTTTCATTTCACAACTGAAAGCTCAGTTCAGGAAGGTGAAAATTTTTATGTTCAGATCCAAATTAACAACCACAAATGTAGTTCACAAGAAGGCATCTCCAAGAAAGGTGGACTGCCATATTCCATGGACAGGCATGGACACTCTGAGTTTCATACCCATGTTCCCAAACTCAAGCAGATTGGGCGCTGGATGTGGAAGGGTGTCCTGCCTGACTCCAGCTGCCACCTGACAAAGACTTAGGTCTCAACACAGGCTCTATTTCATATCTGTCAGGCAGATTTCAAGTTAACTCACAACAATGTACACACATTCTTCAGTTTTTTACTATTTACAGAGTTCCCCAGACCCCTGAAGAAAACTGAGGGACTGCAACTGGGGAGTTAATGCTAAAGGCTTCTCTCTCTTGAAAGCACAAGAATAAAAAGATCATTGTTTCCACATTCATTGTGAGAAAAACCATGAATTAACTTGTATCAATGAAACTGGGTATCAGAGATCTTTACTGTAGAAGAGTACAGTCACCTACAGATGGGATCTGTCATGATTTCATGAGAATGTTTTGGGGGTTTCTTGTTTCCTTGTTTTTATTTTAGGTCTGATGAAGATCTTTTGTTACTTCTCTGTAAGCCATAAGGAAAATACTTGTTCGAACCTTTTTTGTCTACCTTTTCATCATTCTTGAGAAGTAGATCTAAATTTAGTTTGTCTCTTTTAGAAGAGACATATTAAACACACATTTTCATTCGTTTAAATAACTGTTCCCCACTAATCTCTACTTGTTGCCTGCACCAATTCCTGAAAATAATTACCCATAAATAAAGTTTTGTCATAAGTAAAAGTCCATGTTTACATGCAATTAGAAACTAGAGATTGATTGCTGATACAGTACGGTCCTGGAAGGTGATATATCAGACAATATGGTTCCATGGGTGTTAACAAAAAAAACCCTGTTTACCTTTATTTTATCTACAGGTAGATAGTATTGTGTAACAATTGTTACTGTGCTGTCACATGTAAATGCAAGCATAAGACATTTACATGGAGCTGTAAGACCTAGAAACAGACAGCAGCAGTACAAAAGTCTCCAATTGCTTTGAACATCTCTGCAAGAATATGTCTAAAGAAACAAGAGGTCAAATACAAAGGGCCAGTGTGAGAAGAATGAAATAAAAAAAAACTTATGGTATGAACTTATGAAAAGTGTATATATAGTTTATACAGTTTATAATAAAAATACTTCAGAGAAGAAATATAGACAAAATTACATTATATGGTGTTTCCCGCCATGTCATGGAAATATCAGCAGCACCTGAACAGGAGAAATAGATAAAAAGGAAATCATAATACTTTGACAGAAAAGTGATTCTTATGAGAAAACATTTTTTTCTTAACAGGCAGTTTTGTTTGCACGTGAAACAGACCACTATTTCAAATTATATGGGACTGTTTTTTTCATATGTTGTTTTTCAAGGAGGAATGGTAACATTCCACCTTCTTTGCAAACCTTTACCATTTCCACTCTATTATTATTTAATAATTGCATATGTCTTAAGAAAAGGCATAAATAAATAAAAAAATTGGATTTTTTTTCTGCTGCTGTATCATTGTGTATATGTATATACACACGCATATTATAATCACAGGCACACAGATATTTCCCCATCAAAGCTCAAGAACAACTGCAATTAGATTTTCTTGGCATTTATTCAATCATATTTGCTTCCTCTACATATATGATCATATCCTCCCTATTTTTCCAGAGGACCTTGACTTGCACTTCCTTTGCTCACTGCCCCCCGACCCCAAAACCAGGTGCAAGAGGAAAACTGGAGTGAGCCACCAGCAGGCACCAAAGGTCTTGGTGACAAGCCACCTGTATTACTGCTCACAGACGTACTGCAAACCTTCCAGAGATACAGAGAGACCCCAGGGAGGACACATCTCCTTCAGCAGATGGGGCAGCGGGAGGGATACAGATGTGCTTCTTAGTATCCACATGCGCAACTTCTGAAATTCTCACTGACACAACCCTTCTAAAGATATTCCATTTCCAACACTGACCACTGTTACTATAGCATTACAGTATATATAGATAGATAATTCTAGCATTATCCTATATAGCTTCTTCTATATCATCAAAAGCACACTTCTGATTTTGCTTGAGTTTGTTTTGCAGACTATTTCCATTAAAAAAAAAACCACAAAAAAAAAAAACCACACAAAAAACCAAAAACGTGAAACTTCACTAGTAACTATGGCATCACTTTGCTCAGAACCAGAACATTTATGACAAGTGAATAACGTGCTGATTTCTCTGTGATCTTCTGAAACTATTTTATATGCATTTTTCATGGCAAAGGAAAGTTTCTGACATTTTCTAGGTTCATGAAAGTATGAAATTTTTCTTTCAAAAATAGTTCTGTGACATACCAGCTTTAATCTGACACAGAACACTATATGATACACAGTAAAAATGATGTTCAAAGAGAATTTTGGAACATGAGACTAGCTCTGATAAATCCCAGTCCAGATGAAGCATAAAGTTCCTTCTCTGCCAGTCACCAGAACAGACTGTTTCATTTCAACGAGAACAAAAGAAATGCAGATAAGCTTTTGATTTCTGAACCCAGCATTAGTCCAGATACTGCCTTATAACCAAACACCTAGACAGCAACTTTAACATGCACTAGCACTGGGGTCAACTGGATAAGCTGTGTCCATACAACATACTTCACCCCAAAACAGGACAGCTGAATGAGAACTGCCTTCTGGGGATAATTTGGGGTCCATGCTAACTCCTACACTGTGCCTGGAAAGTGTGTAGGAAGACGTAAT